CTGGGGAGCCCCCTCCGCGCCCCCCCACCCTCTTCCCGTCTCGCTCCGCCGCCTGCCTCCCTGCTGCCGCCTCCCCCGAGGCGGGCATTCAAGGCAGTGTCCTAGTGTGACATATAATTACCTTCTGCGCTGGCAACGACACTTATTCATTAGTGCTTTTATGAGATTTAGGTGCTTCTTTGATCCTCCTCTACAGCCCATGTACCCTATCTCCACCCCAACGGAGGAGCCGCCTTCCACCACGCGCTCGGCCCCGAATCTCGGCGTCCCCGGAGGATGGCTCAGGTTAAAACCCCCGTCTTCCTGCTGTCGTAGCCTGGTTTTGCAAGGAGCTGGTGGAGGAAGATTTCCGCCCATCACCGGCTTCATGCTGTGCGATCCTGCACCCCAAGGATCAGGGTGCACGAGAGGGTCTCCCTGCAACTGGGCTCGTGGAAACCTCCCAGCTTAATAAAGCTTCCCCCTCCCCGCCTCGGTTTTCAGTGGGCCTTTAGGTTGACTAAGGGAAATTTAGAAAAGCAAACAGAAATGGGAGGCCGAGTCCTCCCCAAGGCATGCTTTTAATTAAGCGTGCAGTAGAGACGGCCGCAATGGGAGAGAGAAGAACAGAAAAGGGCAAGTGAAGTGCCGGGAAGAGCATGTCTGCTGCAGGGTGCGCCGGGGTGGCTGCGTCCTCCACTGGGATTTGGGAGACAGATAGTCTCCTTTGAACCCAAAACGCTTGCTCCGACGGCAGGTCTCTGTGCACGAGCTTTTCTTGGCAATATGCATGTTGCCCGGTAGCAACACACCCGCTGCTGCACCCTGCTCCCAGGGCAGCATCGAGGCTTTTGGGGATTTGCTTGCAGATTTTGAGTCTACTCAGTTAAGCAGCCCTGAGCAGAGGTTTGCTGGAGGGGTTGATACTCCAGCTTGACCTAGACGGGTCAGATTAGTTCACGGGGCCTGAATACAGACTAGCAGGAACAGCCTGACATTTTTCAAGTCAAGCCCCGTGGCTTATTAACTCAGCCTCCGTCAGCGCTTGGTCTGGGGCTCACACGGCAGCTGCAATTTGGGCAAGAAGCAACAACGCCGCGGCAGTCCAAACCCCCCCCCAGACACCCCGACATACCCCGGCACGTCCGTCTCTCTACGCCCGACGCTTGGCCTTTTGCAGCTGCGCATTGCTACAGGGCACCCAGCATCTCGTGGAGAGCCGCCCGAACCGCTTCGCCGAGTACCGGCTTGCAAAAGAAAGCAGAAAAAATAAATAAGTGGTGAGGGAGCTGAAAAGATCCGGAAGAGAAGGCCGGAGGGGGAGATGTCATGTCCTCTGCAGCGCCGCTGGGATATTAATGATCCTCCAGGTCAGGGCGAACGTCCGCACGTAGCGGGTGACGTTGCGGCGGCGGGCCCCCCCCCGCCGCCCCCCCCGGAGCCGCTAACGCGACCTCGCGGAGAGCGCCGGCAAAGTCACTGCTGGGTGGCGGGGATGCAAAGCTGCCTGCGCAACGCCTCGCGAGCCACCCAGCCGGGGCTGCAAAGATTGATAGCGCCGCCAGCGAAGCTCCAGCCGTAGCAGCTGCTGCCAGCAGGAAGTCGGAAAAAAACCCGTCGCTTTTAATTAAAAGCAGCGTTTCAAAACATGCTGCACGGCTTTCACACGCAGGAGGCGGCTTCCTCCAGCACCGAGACCTCCGGGGGCAGCTCCTCATGCAAGCCTAAAGGTCAGAGGTACATCGCCGCGTCTGCCCGCCACCCTGAAAAGAAACATCCATCGAGCGTTATTTCAATTATGCTGCCAGCTTTGATGTGCTCCTGGGACAGACGGCGCGGAGCATCGGCTGTGAAGAGCTGTGCGTGGTCCTCCTGCCTCCCTGCTTGCTTTGCCCTCGTGTCCCAGCCCTGAGTCATGCAGAAGTCTAACCACGAGCAGCTACTTTCGGTGCCGGGGAGGGTGTTTCCTCAATCTCCAGCTAGGTGCATTTCAAGAACTGATTTTCGGGGCCAGTACGCTCAGCACTCGCTGAACAGAAGTCCAGGTCCTTTCCAGGTGCCTCCAGCTGGGCGGCAGTGGCTACATTACAAATTCCCATCTTGCTTTTTAAGTGCCGCTGTCATCATGAGCCGCGGGACGGAGCCTTAGGACCGGCGCGTTGGTGCGAGAAGCAGGAGGTGTTTGTGGTGCTGAAGGAAAAGCAGCGAAGAAGAACTTCTCCCCCAAACAACCCGACGATATCTGCAACCGCGTTTTAGCCGGCCGCCGCGTGGCATTACTGCGAAATCTGCCAGTATTTGCTGGAAATGCCCACGTGGCCCGTGCACAGATCAGGGCAACCTGCTGAGAAATATGGCAAAACGATGCACGACGCAGATCCTGCCCGACGGTGGGACTAGCGGCTGCTGCGAGCACTAAGTCTGCACTGCGCTTCGGGAGCTTCCTCCAACCTGCGGTTCAGACGCCATATGCGCTCTGTATATGATATAGTCTTTTATTGGCTTGGATGCGCTTGCTGCCAGTAATCGAGATTCAATGGGAACCGATTGTGTATGAGAAAAGCGAGCAGTCATTTCCCACAAGGTCCAATTTTCAGTGGAAGCATTTCAAGTATTTTGGCAAATGCACATCCTGGCAATTCAGCCCCAAGCCCGTAAACTCTTAATGGCTTCTCAATCACAAATCATCCCCAGCTACCCAGGCTGCGATGCCGATTACCATATTAAGTATGGCAGAACAATGTGGAAAAGGATATTTGAGCTAATATTAATAACCTGCCAAGTGAATAAGAGAGATGACAAGCAACGTTCTTCTCGGCCGCGAGGCAACCCTGCTAGCTAGCTTTCCTTCGCACGCCGACATCCGCGGTGTGGGGGAACCGTGCGGAAATAGGAGCGGCGGAGCATGTCTGGCCGCCACCGGGCAAGGGGGGGTGAGCTGGCGACTCACCTCGGCTGCTCCCGCGCCGCCCAGAAACGCGGGCGGTTTCGCTGCGTCGAGCGAGGCAGGCCGGCACCGAAACCCCCGCCCGCCTCATTGCTCCCAGCTAACACACGGCACAGAGCGATGGCTTCTGCCTGCTATGAGCTGGCTTCAGCAGAAACTTTTCCCTTTTAATTTACACAGGCACGGGCATTAATTTTCAGGTCGGAGCAGTTTGAAGCGGTGGTGCACCATGGGCTTGTTTCTTTCAAAGTCCCCGGAAGAAATGCACACCAGGTGAATTGCAATTAAATTTGTCCGCTAGCCTGCTCTGCAGGAGCCTCCACTGGCAGTACTTGCAGCAAGAGATATGCAGGCACCATCAATGGCATTTCTGAGCCTGCCCTGTTCCCCTTTTGCTCCTCTCTTTCAGGTCAGCACCGCGTTCCTCAGCTCTCTTCCTGCCTACGTGGCCGCAAGAACAAGCACTTGTTCTGCTCAGTTTTGCCGCCATAAAGCAGACTTTCAGTTCTGGCTAGAGGTCTGCTGTGGCAGGCACGCAGCTTGTCTCTAACTCTTGCTTTTACATTTGTGATCCCTTCAAAGGGATCATGGTTTCTCCAGTTCCTCTCCGCGTACAACTCTCCTGCAGTGATTTGTGCCGAGGAAGCTGAGCTAATGGGCTGCTGCGGACATCATATGGTAAAGGGTTCAAGAGCTTGCTTGTAGCTTTCTTCTAAACTAAACTGAGGCCTAAAATTTGCTCTTTGGACCCGCGTGTGTACTTCAGTGCACTTAGAGGGACAAAGCAGTCTTGTTCCAAAATAAGTTTCTACTTACTAGGGAAGAGCCACGCAGCACCTACACCCCACAAGAGGGGACCCTATTCTTTGCATGAGCGAAGAAACGCCGAGAAGGGCAGCTTGGACACGCCAGACCCACGCATGGGGCTCTGGGTGGGTAACGGCACAGGGTCTCTTGCCGCCGCTTGGTGTGGGAGCATGGAGGTGCTGCGTGGCATGAGCTTCCTGAGGCCTCTGCACGGCAGCGCTGAGGCCAGCTGCATCCTGTGACTCGGGGAAAGCCTTGTATTCACCATAGCGTTCTGGAACAAGTCCTCAAGCGAAGCTGGAAGCTAGAAATGCAATGGCCAGAAAATAACCTGCACAGCCTCAGAGGACAGAGACAATGGCTTCCCACCGACAGCCACCCCAAGCCACCTCCTCTGAGCAGAGCCAGGAGACCTCTTTGCCAAAAAGGCCGAGTGACTTCAATACCCGGCCTCGAGGAGACGCAGCCATCCTGGGACTTTTCCATCATCGCAGCCTGAGCCCACCTTCACCTCTTTCCAAAGGGCGTTCTCACCCGTGCTACACAGCTCACTCGCCCTTCAGCTTCTGCCATGGACAAACTTAAGTATCTCATTTTCATCTTAATGGCCCTGCTTGCTTAAATCAGGAGGCTCTCCTTGGTTGCCCGAGTTGCCTCCCTAGCAGAAGGGCCTGCTGTTTCTTCTGGCACCTCTGCGCAAAATAAAGAGGCTAGCTTTTCCTTCTGGACCCCAACAGGCCACCAGAACGGGACAAGTTGAGAGGCGGGTGCTCTCGTCCAAAGAGCACCTGACCACTATCAGAGCTGTTCAGAGCAGCGGCAGCCCACCTCAGCTGACTCACAGCAGCCAAAAGCAGTGCAGGACCAGGGATCGTATGGGCGAAATCGGGAACGAAATCTTACGTTTGCCAGCAAGTTTCTAGCAAAATGCTCCCTGTGAAGAACCAAGTGCTGTGACCCTTTCCACCTGCATGGACGAAACCCGGATAGAGTAGGCTTCTCTCCCTCCTGCCTCCCAGCAAACCTCCCCGAAGGTGCCTCACTGCAGCATTAGTTCAAAGGCTTGACAGGTCCAATTAGCAAATGCCAAACTTGTCAGCTACTTTGCTGGAACGGCTGAGGTTCAGCGTCGCTTGGAGTAGCGAGACACGGAGAGCTGATAAAGGCAGGTCATGTTTTCCTAAACACAGTAACTCCCTAAGCAAAGGAAAAGGAAGCTTTGCAGAGCCAAATTTTCGTTCCACATGTTTTTCAGCAGTGGCACTTGTAACAAAAGGTCTTATTTACACAAGCAATATGTACTTACTCATGTATAAGTATAGGTATCTCAGGAGTGAGCACATCTAATTTTCAAAGTTGACTTTCAGAAAAATCTAACAAAGCATCAATTTGCATTATATTTGCTTGACTTCTGTCCCACTTTCAACCCACATAGTGAGACACTGACCGGCCCTTTGCCCTTTTACTAGTAATTAAATACTTCTCTCTCTCCTCCTAACCCCAACTCTGCCAAGAGCATTTACACCCTGATACCTTGAAAATGCAGTGAACTCTTCTGAGCATCCCCAGACAAGTGTCCACACGAGTTTGGCAGTTTCTCCATGGCTGCACTCATGCCGTAGTCTGAGAAGACTATGGTTGATACTAGCCAAAAAGAAAAGAGCAGATGAAAGAGGGACGCCGAGGCATGGGGTGATACTTGCGCGAAGCTCATCCCGATGCAAGACGGGGTCCGAGAGCCCCAACGCCACTTGCCCCGCTGCCGGAGCAGGAAAGCAAAGCACTGAAGCCAATGTAACCCCCAAATTTTGTTTTTCAAAGTGTAACCGTGCGTTTTCACCAAGCACGGCGAGGGAGATGCAAAAGCAAGGTGACTTGCATCTCGGACCTGGACGACTAGGTCCATGGGGCTTGGTCGCACGAACCACGGAGAGGAGGACATGGAAAGGCACCGGATCCAGCCTGTGACTGCAGTGAGGCCCCGGTCGGAGGAAAGCAAATGCACCACGATTTCCTCCGGTAGCGTGTGTGGAAGGAAACAGGAACCAAACATGAAAGATCCGGGAGGAGAAAGAAGAAAACAAACCAAAAAAAACCCTAGCATGAGCCAACATCTGTGGGTAGAGCTATAAGTGGCGGCAGGGAAGTCCTGCTCCAGGTGCAGGGCCGGAAGAAGCAGGCGGGTATAGTTAAAGAGTGTGGTGCGATTTCGGCAGTGGGAAAGAGGCCGAGAAGGTACCGACATCTGAGTTTGATGTCAGTGTGGATATCTGCAAGTAGGAGGCACTTGGGAGACGGGGAAGAAAGAGATAGGAATGAGGAAAATTAGATAGACAGACAGACAGATAGATAGACAGATAAAAGGAGCAGCCCAGTCTTGATGGCGTTGTGCAACCAGGGAACGCACCTGAGGACCTGGTGACTTGATCATCTCCTTTTTATCTTTGATTTGCCTCTCCACGGCGAGGGGGGCAGGGAAACGCCACTCTGCTCGCCTGCGCGTGGCTTCCTTACTGCCGAAACGGCCCCTTCCCGCCGCTGCCCGCAGCACATCTCCATAAAGAAAAACTCCGGCTCCCATGCCGGCCCCAAAGCGGTGTGGCGCCAGCTCTCGCGACCCCGACAAATATAGTCCGGTGGAAACGGCGCAGCTGCTCGCTGGCACCGAGGTGATCGGAGAGGTTGAAACGTGAAACTTGTTGCAGAGATAGGCACGCGGTTTATAGCACCCCACTGCCCGCTTCCGCGCCGGCGTGGGAAAACCCACTCGGGTCGGGAAAGCAAGGGGCAGGCGGACACCAGAAGTGAGAATGTCTCTTGAAATGCCTGGAGAGGTAAAGCCAACAGCTCGCGAGGCGAGCCAAGCCAGTCAAGGAAAGAATAAATGCTGCCAGCAGACCTCCACCAGCGGAGAAACGGGAGCCGGTCGCTGCGTTTCTGCAGATCCTGACTTTTGCAAAAGCTCCCGATTTATTGCTAAGTCGAACTACCGCTTGCATGAATCTGCCGCTTGTCACCTAGACGCCACCGCGACCTAGAAGAGCCTCAGAAACCGCGCAACAAGGCACAAAACTTTCAGAATCACAGCGTTTGGGGGGAAAAAGAGGACTCCCCCCCACCCCCTAAGCACAGCCCCTTGCCCTTCCCTCACCCCAATCCAGGCACAGGACGGAGAGACCCGGCAGCCGCTGGCTCACGCGCAGCCCAGCCCAGGCGTCCCGCTGCAGCCGACGGGGCGGATGGAGGGACCCCTGGCCTCGTTCAAAGCGAGATCCCGGTTTTATGATCCGGGATATCCCCTCCGCCCCCTTCCCCTGCCGGCGGCGAGGAGCTCACAAGCGCTGCACCAACGTCAGCGGTTTTCCTGACTTGGATTCGGAGCCAAACCAATAAATCTTGGGGTGGGGAGGGAGAAAAAGGGCCAGCTGGAGTCACTGGCAGCGCTGAGGGTCCTCTGCAGACCCTGGCTCAATTCATGACCCACCTTCAGTCCGCAGCCGAGGCAGAGCCGGTGTGGGGTTTAGGGGGCAGCGAGGAGGCCGGCCGGCCACGCTCCACGCTGCTCCGGCTGCGTTCGATTAGCAAGCTCAAATGCCAGCTCAGGGAAGCGGCGGAGGGGGGGAGAGCGGGTGAGCGAGAGAGGCCAACTCCGCCGGGAATCGTAATACGCTCGTTTAAGCTGGCTGCCTCCCAAATCACAGAGCTCCAGTCCTGCATTTCTGAGCTTCTCGCGTTTCCCTAAGCGCATCCTGAGAAAGAAATTAATAATAATAAGAAATAATAATAATAGCAGCTTGCTAGTCCCAGTCTTCCTGCCCTAAATGCGTGCGGAGGTGCCAGCCGCCCGCTGAAGGCAGCCGTGGTTTGCCCTGGTCGCCCTTGCCCTGGTGGTCCCTGTCACAAGCGCAGCCAGGTCTCAGCCGGGGCTCTTGGAGCCCCCCCCCGCTCTGATCCTCACCACTGCTCACCACTCGCTTGCCTCTTCTGCGTCGCGCCTAAAATATTCGGCGCGTCTCCGTCTGTCCAGAACATCTGCTCGCCCTTTTCTTGTGGTTTCTTGTAGCGTTTTCAGTGAATTTAATACTCGTGACAGGTGCTGGATGGCGAACCGCGGAGGGCAGTGCAGGCTTTTATAGCCTCCACCGAGACGAGTGCCGAGCGTGTGGTCGCCGCCAGCCTCCGCCCTCGTCCCTGCCGCGATGGGATGCCGCATGCAGGGGATGCAAAGGGCAGAGGGGGCTGTGATGACCTTCCTGTCAAAGCGCGGCTCGAGACTGAGCTGGT